CGTCTTCGCGGACGGCGCACTCGTTGAGCACCTTGATGTCGATGGCGTGTTCGAGGGCGCACGCCTCGATGAGGCTCTGGTCGGGGATCTCGCGATACGAGCGCGTGATGCACATGGTGAAGCCGAGGCTGATCTTGGGGTCGGGGTAGGACTTCGCCGCGCAGAGCTCGATAATGTTGCCCATGCCTGGTATATGCGAGTCAGTTTTTTTTTTCTCCTTTGCCTTTTCTTTTCTCTCCCCCCAAGTGAGGTCTAGGGAGATACAGAGGGAGAAAACATACATTCGGAAGGCCCGTGACGGCAGTCGACGCCGTCATCTTCGGTCGGTCTACGGCGGAGAGTTAGTCAGGCGTGCGAGAGGGAAAGGGGAGCGGACAGTAGTCTAGACGTACGTTCCGACAAAAGACAGTTTCCAGTCCACCTTGTCATGTGCGCGCATCATCACCGGCAAGACCATGTCTCGCAGGCAGTCCTTCACACGATAGCATGTTAGTACTTGGTATCATGACTGGGCGGGCCCTTCCATCCCCAAGACTGGCTGCAACGACGTACCCGTGCATCCGGGCACTTGCTCATGATGTGCGCTTCCAAGGGCACCAGCCTGTTGACCTTGCTGGCGAGGCCGGCGCCGTTGTTCGCGTCGGCGGCCTTGCCGGGTGCGGCGGCGGCCTTTGCGGCGGCGGCCTTGTCATTGTCGATGCGTATCCTCGACGTGATGCCGAAATACTGCCACAGGTTGTAGCCGAGGATGCCGAGAAGAATGATGATGATGAGGGGACGGGCGCGGCGAGAGGATCGGGTCCCGGAGAAGAAGCCGCGCTTCTCGTCCATCGTGACGTATGGCTGTTCTTTGCTTGGTAGGGAGCAAGGCGGCTTGTCGGCAGGGATGGGCGACGACAGGGGCTGCGTGGTCTGGCCGGCGGACACGTGCTTGGGTTTCTGTTGCTGGTCGAGGTAGCGGTATCGCGACGAGTCGATACGCATGCTGTGGTGAGGGCGGATGGATGGGGGTTGGATGGAAAAAAAGATGCAAGACGGAGCCGGGCCCTGAAGTGCAAGTTGTCGCAGAAAACAATGCAAGTATGGTGGTTGTGTGGAGAGTCAGCAATCTCAGGCCCCCGAGAGATTCCTGGTGAGGGAGTGGTGGGATTAGGTGTGGATGATTTGCTTGGGACGACGACGACGCGGCGCACATGGGCGATGGGGGCGGTACATCTAATCGCGGTTCCAAGGCGCTGTGACAGAAGTACCACTGTACAGCCCCCCTGCTTCATCTGCCGCACGTAGCACGTTAAGTGCCTTGGCAGCCCGTGTTCAGCCCCGTGTTCAGCTATGAGGGCCAAGGATGCAAGGGTGTGTTGTTGCTGTGCCTGCCTGTGCCTGCCTGTGCCTGCCTGTGCCTGCCACTGCCACTGGCTCTGTCTCTGTAACTGTAACTGCCTGTTATTGTTCATGGATCGTCAGCCCTCGCTCGTGTCACGTTACAGTTCCCCATCAGACGAACACGACCAAGTGTTCGGGTTGTGGGAGACAAGAAACAGAGAAGGCTCGGCTCTTTTCGTTTCACAGACTGCAACTCATCGCCATGCCACGTCGGTGATATCGTGCCGTCATCATCCTTTTCCTCCCTGGGATATCGCTATCCTGACTTGGGATATCCCGCATCTTCCACGATCGTCGACAGGACCAAATCTCCCTTCACGCCACCTCACCAAGACATTCTGCCAGACTCCAATCGCGGAACACAATTGTGGCCCTGTCATCGCCGGCTCACATCCTCGCGTTGAGCCTCAACTTCGATTCGGAGCGCTACACCCCTACCAACGCCCCTCAGCCTTGCCACCTTGCTCATATTGGACAACCATTGTTGTTGTATTGGTTGATTGAAGCTGTCTTTCACCGAGGTCAACCACCGCATCACACTACCAAGTGCTTGATGGCCCTGTCGATTCGACGTAGAGCACCTAGCATTGCGACCATACGCAGATACGTCGCCTCTAAGTACATGAGACCCATGTGCAAACCATGACAATGAGTTCCGATTCCCGATTGAGTTTGCAGGACTTCCTACAGCCACTCCATGTCGACCTTGATAAAATACACACCCTATCACAGGCCTTCTACCACAACTTCATCCATCTCGCGGCTGATGACCTTGCTCAGTTCTTGCCCACGCCCATCTCCGAATCCATTCTGAAACCTGTCAGCAAGAGTGGCCACGGAAGGTGAGCTGGTCTTCGCCTGCATGAAGCTGCACCCTGTCACCCTGCCACAAGCTAACCCCGTTGTAGACATCTTGCTATTGACATGTGAGCACTTCGCCCTTGGTGACATTGACCATACTCACTCTCTCAGTGGCGGTTCCAACCTCAGAGTGGGCTTCATCGAACTGTCGCCAGAGGAGGCTGTCTCGTGCGAGGGGGGTCACGGTCTGACCAATGGGGCTTCCAAGGGCGTGTCCAACGGCGCGACCCGTGTTGCCCGCCTTAAAGAGCAGTCGTGGCCTATCGCCGAGCATCTCAAGAGCATGAACGATACCAAATTGTTCGACTGGATTGGCGAATGCATCGCTGCCGTCGTCACCGAAGGCTGCCGCGCCTGGGCCCTTGCCGCCGACGAGCCGATCCCTCTGGGCATCACTTTTAGTTTTCCCATGGTCCAGCGGTCCCTCAATGAAGCCTCTATCATAGCCATGGGCAAGGGATTCGCCATCCACGGCGATGTCGAGCTTGGATCTCTGTTACTGACTGGCTACAACAAGTCCCGCCGAGAGCTGCCGCCGATTCGCATCGCCGCCATAGCCAATGACTCGGTCTCGACGCTCGTCTCCTTCAACTACCTATACGGCGAGGACGGCCGCAAGAAAGCAGCCATGGGTCTCATTGTAGGCACGGGCTGCAACGCAACCATCCCTCTGAAGCTCGCCGCCCTCCACGAAAGCAAACGACCTGCAAGGATCAGCCTGCTCCCGGGCGAGGCCCCGGAGCAGGTCCGCATCGCTGTCAACACGGAGTGGAGTATCAAGGGCTCTGCACCGCCACTCCAGAAACTCGGCCTCATAACGAGGTGGGACGAGGCTCTCGATGCCGCTGGCGAAATGCCTGGTTTCCAGCCGCTGGAGTACATGACAGCAGGGCGCTACCTGGGCGAGCTGGGGCGACTCCTGCTGCTAGACTATCTCCATAGTCGTCTGGGTGTCGATATCTCGGTGTTGCCCAGCGCGTTGTTGACGCGCCACGGCATGACGACGACCTTTCTGAGCCACTTCCGACCCCTGGACCCAGAAGTGCTGGTCTCTCAGTTGGAGACTGAGTTCCCAAGCAACGCGCCTTTCCGATGGACGACCGACATGGCCACGGCGCTCTATCACATGAGCAAGGCAATCGAAATCCGTGCGGCAGGCATCGTGTCTGCTGCTGTGGCTGCGCGCTCCTTCGCATGGCCGGTGATATACCAGAGACAGC